ATATATATATATATATATATATATATATATATATATATATATATATATATATATATATATATGGAGTGGTTTAAATGAGAACCACAAAAGATTAAGAATCATAAAAACCCCATTTTATAAGTAAATATTTACACAATACTTATTAAACATGTTAAAATCCTGATTTTTTTTTTTTGTCTTTTTGGTACGAAAAGGGTAAAATTATAATTTTTACAGTCTAATATTTTCATCTAATATTTTCATTCATACAATGATTCACATTTTGACACAACTTATATAAACTATAAAATTTAGTAGAGTTCATTTATAGTTATTCACAATTTAATACAATCATAATATCACCAATTCATTAACTTAGGAGAGTCAAACTCGAACTCCACCACCACCAACTACCACATGTCAGCACCAACCATCTACGTCAACGTCACAACCATCGTTCCTTTCAAACCAAATCTGTATATAAAATCATGTATTGTCAGTTTAAATACTATATTCATTGTTTAATAAGCCTATTAATTCAGTAATTTAGAGTTTAATACAACAATTATAAAAAATAATACATTCTTACATATTACTCCATAAAAAATACTCACAAGAAAATTAATACAAATATTCATATTTGAACATAAAGTTCATAAAAAATCACAAATTAATACAATCAATTCACGGTTTAATACAGTGAATTCACAATTTAATACACAAAATTAACAGCTTAATATATTAAATGCACAGTTTAATACACAAAAACAATATATTCACATGCATACTCTCTACTTAAAACTTACACTTATACATTTAGATATGTGGGCTAGTGTTTCTTTCAAATTTTAATTTACATAATATTTACAATTTAAATTTAACATATTTTATTCAAAATTAGAGAAAATAAAATCTATGTATAATGCTTCTTTCATCTCATATTTTAGAAGCAAACATAAATTTCATAAAATAAAAATAACAGCTTAATATACTCACTGCACAGCTTAATACATTTAATTCACAATTTAATACAAAAATTTACAGTTTAATAAAATATATTTACAGGATAAAACTTACATATGATGATGTTTGGAGCCTTGGAGGTTGTATTAGATAGCAGTTCACACACTCGCACAATTCACAACATAAAAAACCTAAATTCACATTATTTGAGAAAACACCAAATCGCACGTCGAAGATCTGGAAACAAACTTGATATGGACTTTGGAGTAGAGTGTGATGTTTTTGGTGTTCCGACGACGAAGCACAGTAGCCGATGTTAGGCGGTAGTCGGTGGTGATAAGTTCGACTATTAGATCTTGACCAAATTGCACCAGATCTAATATGTTTTGCCTTTTAGAGAGAGAAAATGAAGCTGAAACAATTTCTTGGCTCCAGATCTGAAACCAGGTGGCGACCGACGGTGGATATAGAAGTATTTTCATAAGATCTTGTCAGATCTATGTTTCTGTTGGTGGTAGGGTAACGACGGGGAAAAGGAATTTGTGGCGACAGTGATGGAGGAAGGTGTGGTTCTCATCGCTCGTCGGAGCTCATAATATGTAGGAGAAAATCGAAGATTTAAAGTCGAAAATAGTAGATCTGAAGACGAAAATCATAAATCTAAAGAGAAAAATCGTAGATCTGAAGCATAAATTGTAGATCTGAAGAGGAAAATCGTAGATCTGAAGATGAAATTGTGGATCTAGAGCCAACCAGAGCGTATGGATCTGATGGTGGTGGTTCGTCGGTGGTAAGAGGCGGTGGCGGTAAACAAGCGTGGTTCTTAATTATCGGTATGATTTCCTTAGTTCGATTTATGCATTTTGATTTATAACCAAAGACGACTTAAAATTCGGTGTAAGAATAAGATACTTTTATATAAGTATTTAATATTCTAAATACTTGAGCAATCCTTGATCATTAAGTTGATTAATTATAAGTAGGGAAGATACCCATGCTCTGCATGGGTCAGGTTGTCTTGATTGGTACTTTGCCAATAATAGTATTCTACCTATGTTTCTTTAAATATAGAAGAAAAATACAAACAAATTCATACCTATAAAGTAGGTTCTTATTATGGTTAAAAACTATAAGTACGTTGCTGTTATGGGAATAAGGCAAACACGTGGATCTTTTGCTGCTTTCCGGAATTATCTTTTTTATCTCGTTTGATTGATACGTAATGCAGAAAGCTCGCCTTTTTCTCCTGATGGCTGTTCCAATTATACGAACCTTATTCTTTTTTGAAAATACAAACAAAATTTTCCAAATAAAAGTAATAATGTTTTTAGGACTAGTCACCAGCTGTTTGTAATATTCCTTCCAGTGTTCCTCATTCATACCAAAGTTGGAAAAGTATGATAAATCAATATCTTGAAGTCTCCATGGCTTTTCCTCAAACCCATCAATATCCACTTCAAATATAGTCCTAAAGATATCAAAGAAAAGGTAGAACTTATTATAGAAACATAAACTTATAAATCTAGTTATATATGAAATATGATATTTATTCTAAAAGGTTAATATGGTCATTACTTATTTGAAGGAAG